GCTTTTCCATTTTTACGAAAACCACAGAGGCGTCTTGTTCAGCGTGCTGTCAAACCTACACTAGCAAGGAGATCGGGCTGAAACTATAGCTACAAGCTATCCAAGGATGGTACTATAGAATGTCACCTCAAGGTAGGCCTAGTGGCGTCATCTCTTGGTTAGGCCGGAAACTTATCAATCCACCCTCGTATACCATCGCGGACTTTTTTGTAGACCTTTTTAAGATGTGCAATACTGTAGTATATTATTTTGTTCTATCTCGTAGGGTTTTTAGCCAGCGTTTACAATGCAAGCGCAAAAAATGTGTTTATTTACGACATCACATTAGAAACCTCTAAAATTATCAGTGTTTCTCTACTATATTATGCATGTATTATACATATAAACCTTCCTCTTGAATCACTCTATCTATTAACAAAAACCGCATTAAAATCCGTTGCGTACTTTTAAAGAACTAAGTATACATAGGGACAGACAGCGGGAAGCGACTTTGTTTTATACTATATAGTGATAGTGATGTAGCACATCTTCGGAAGGAGTCGTAGGCGAGCCGAAAACGAGTACAAAACGCTGCGATTGGAATAAAATGAAAATAAAGACGATTCTTTTCGGAATCTGTATGCCGATATATAATATAATTTTTTAACAACATCTCCCTGTAAGCTGATTCGACAGATTTACTTGTTCATACATCGTTTACAACACCAAAACATAATTCTCACTCCCGGAACGTATACACAAGCTGACGTAATGGAAGTATAAATATGTTATGATCCTATAATCCTTTAATGAAGAATGGCATTCTGTAAAATTATGTACGATGTAAAGGCGTGGGATCTGGAGAAGAAGTAATGAAACCAGTGAAAACATCCGAAATGTGGGTGTTCAGGGAAAGCAGTGGAATTTATTTTGGAAATGTAATGTATAATATAAGTAAGAATTATTTACTTTACACAAAAACACTAACTAGGAACTCACTCTCTGATATTTATATACGAGTATTTATTTTACATAAGGCTGTATTCACTTGTATTTACTTTGCTTATGTATATTACTGGTTTGTTGTTCATATACCAACAGACTACCATATACTACCATCCAATTTTCCAGATAAATTTTTTTTTTCTGAGTAGCTATCGAAATTCTTTTGTTACGCATTCGCGTATGTGTCATCCGCGAATGATAAACTACCTTGAGGCAAGCTGCTCTCACCTTCGACATTTTTAGGAAAAAGCCCAGGAGGAGCCGCCGGTAATCGATATATTGATTTCATCGCATACTTTACATTTACGTTTATTAGACCTTTCCAAGTCATACTTGGTTAACTTCTGTTTTAAATTTGTTGGCAGGCACTTGTAATTTTTCAGGTGGAAAATTACTGCTTGTCCATATCAAATATATGTATAGATTAAGATGGTAAATAATCAGTAATATTGTAAAATTTATGGATTCAACTTTTCTCACGCGTAGCAGTCGATGTACTTGCTACGTACGAATGTATTTAATATTCGCTATTAGAAATGCCTGTTCACACATATAACGAAGTATTCGAGGGTAATGAACGATGTCCTGATGGAACGATAAGCCACCACATATTTGGTAAACGCGCGCTATGTCATACTAATAAACTGAGGAAACTGGCTGCTAAGTCTGCGTCCATGTCATCAACGACTGACTTTGCAACACGCTCCGCTTCAGCGAACTAAACGGAAACAGAATATGTCTAAGATTGTCCGTATCAGCTACAACGATCTTGCATATTATTATTAACGATGAGAAGAGAACTAAAGTGGAAAGTAAATTGATCTCGTTCCATTGCAACACGTCAAAGACTGAGTTTTTGAAAAGACATCTACAAATTTCTTTTTTCTGTTAGAAAGGCTTTAAAAGACATCTTTTTTATTTTGTAACATAACATAAAGTAATAATTATTCTTTTCAGTTTCACTCTACCGAATTACGATCAAACTAGCTCTCTAAAATATTACCGGAAAAGGTCCGTTTGCAGGACTAAACTGTCGATTGTGTACGAATTGAGTACTGAAACAGTACCGCATTTAGTACGAAAAGAATACGGCGGATACAGCACCGATTGCTTTCCAGAAAGCTACTGAAATACCACCGAAAGGGCGACGCATTTATACTAAAAAGCGCCAAAACAACACTAAAGGGATACTTAAATTTGAATGTATATAGATATAACTATTATCATTATTATTAAAGTGGCTATTATTACTATTTTCATAATAATTTTGTGACTGGGCGTGAAAGTGATGGATATGGAGGCGAGGCGAGGCGCTGTTTGAGGGCTCTTTCGGATCTTTTTTAATGTGGTGTTGGTTTGAAGGTGTTCTAGAGTTTCAAGGGGTAGCATTTTAGCTATAATTTTAGAATTTAAATTTTCGTCTAATTTGTAGGAACTTTTTGGGTGGTTTAGGTCATTTTAGATATTTGGAAGCGATTCGGTGGTGCTATAATTCTTTCTATTTTTACTGAGGAAGGCGCTTTCCTGTTGGTACTCCCCCCTCTATTACTTTTTATAGTAACCACACAATATTTAACTTCACCAGTAATAAATACGTGAGCGTTTGCATGTTACGTTCGAAAATACACACAATTTATTCATTCAAATGGTAAATAAATAACGTAAAATCGCCTAATATCAAAAGTAATTAAAACGAATTTATTACCAGAAAAAAATGCAAGAGTTATCGACAATCTTTAGAATGCGGGTAGTAATCGGAATCTATTCAGAAAATCCCATTTAACAGGAGGGCGTTTCAAATTAATATTCATAAGGTAAACATTCAGACGGTTAATATAACCAATGAAATTACGTTGTAGCCATAAAACTACGTTTGAAACGGTGAAGAGCCCCACTGGTACATAATGGAAATAGTGACAGATGTAAAATACTGTTCACCTACACTTCTTTCAGTTTCTACGTCATCTTTCAGCACCAACCACTGGGAGCCATTATTTAATTTTTTTGGGTCCACTTATTACATAAAGAGCATCAATTAAAGTATTGTAAAACAAAAAAAAAGGGTAGAATAGTTCTAAGTGCTCTTTTGTTTGAACAAAAGGGGTTTACAATTGAGATAAGGGCATTGAGATCGTAAAATGTCAATTTATGAACCATTTCAACTAACAAAAATGCTTTTAGACATCATAAAATTATAAATCTTGAGTGGACGTCATAGTTCTGCCTACATCGAAAGTGCCATTATATAGTATATAGTACATTAGTACAATTATATATAGTACAAGACATTTGTCTATCGTCAGAAAAATGATAAGAAGAAGCATCTTCCATCAGTTGCTCAAATAAAGGGTTATCTGCTACAGTGTTTCTTATTAAGAAAATTTTAAACTAGAGGATTATATGGAAATCAGAAACATAAAATTACATTCCTGTGCACAACTATAACTTGTGGACTTCTAAAGTGTTTGTCAAATTTTATGCATAACTCTGGAATACGTTCAGCCATCAGATGTAAAGATGTTACGAATGTTGCGT